AATGAAAGGGCTTGATGAGTGTAATGTCGGGGTGAGCTTATATCTTTAAAAATGTCAATATTTCACCAGATAAAAGATCATTTTTTAATTATTAACATTTTTAGAGATATAAGCTCATCCCGATGTTACGCTCATCAAGACCTTTCATTTGAGTACCCACATGCAATTTTGTATATATTTCATATATTTTATATATATATATTTGTGAAATATATAAATATATGAAAAATTGATGTGGGTACTCAAATGAAAGGTCTCGACGAGTATAATATCGAGATGAGCTTATATCTCTGCAAATATCATCATTTGACAAAATACAGTGACTAAAATACAAACTAAAATCTACGTTTAGATTCTGATCCAATGAAAATGTTCTAGAACATTCTCGATTGATCCAGAAATATCTAGAGTGATCTAGAAATTTCTAGAAAGTTATGGTTAAATCTAAAATCTACGTTTAGATTTTGATCACATGAGAATATTGTAGAAAATTTTAGAGTGATCCAGAAATGTCTAGGATGATCTGGTAAGTTCAAGAATGATATAGGAAGTTGTAGAATGATATAGAAAGTTATAAAATCTACGTTTCGATTCTGATTGAATGAGAGTGATTTAGAAAATTCTAAAATGGTCTAGAGTAACTCCGAATAAATTAAAAAGCTTCAAAATGAATGTCAATATTTTTATCGGTCAAAATATGTTGAATTGTTTTAGAAACTTTTGAAACATCATAAAAAAATTTAAACATTACCAAATAACTGTTCTATTAAAAATAACCCAGCGAAACGGGTGTTTACGGCACATTGCTTAATTCACATAAGAAATCAATGATCACATAAGATATCAATAGTCACATACAAACGTTTTTAGTGATATTTATTTATCATTGTATAACATCACATTTGATTCTAATGATCATACCATTATATGTGATCAATATGCGGCATCATAAAGATAATCTATTATGACTCAGGCTTGTTTTATAAATTTTTTATTTTTTTTTTCGCTTTTATATAGTAACAAACATTTCGATAAGTGACAATTAATCGAATAAAATTAGCGATTTTATTTAAATCATTAACTAAAACCAAAAAAGGATTGCTTATATTAGAGAAGGAAATAAAATGGTAAATATTGTTGTAGATTTCGTGGGGTTTTATTTTGAAGATCAATGTATAATAAAAGAGTTCGTCGTAGCTCGAATATTAGATAAATTAATCGAAGTCGAGGATCAAATTTTGATAGACACAACGACGCTACCGATTGATTCTAATGCACTTTTTCATGATAATGAATTCCATATATTTTATAACAAAACCAACATCAAATGGGATAAAAGAAGTGATCACACTCGCGAAGATATAATAGCCAAAATGGAGAGTCTCCGTCACCACAACATTTACGTACGCAATAAAACACACGCGGCTTTTCTAGCCGATTACTTGAACTTAAGCGTAAATTCTTTTAACTCATTATCCGACTTAACAGATTTTGATTCCTATGAGCACATAAGTAGAACAAACTGCAGAAATCATCAAAGCAGACAAAGTTACTGCGTCAAAAACAATGTGATGTTCATGGCAGAGTGGTTGAAGGAAAAATTGAAGGAATTTCCAGAACCAAAAGTTAGACTCGCGGTTGTTGATTACATTGGAAACAAGAATAATACTGCTACTTATAATTTAAAAATCACAGACTTACGAGTTTGCTGTTTTGACAACAACGGTACAGTAATTAGCAATAAACTTATAGCTTCTGCATCTTGCAATTCTATCAGAAATACATCAGATGAGGAATTGTACAGACATACACAACGTTACAGTGAGATATATGGATTTAATTACATACCGTCCAAGGTTGAGAATTCGGCAATAATAAATCAATTGAAGAAAATTTTACTTGATAACAAGATTGAATTCATCTTTGTTGAGATTGATTCAACTAAAAATTATTTGCTTCGATTACTGGGTATGTCATTCAATATCTTTAGTTTAGATGATTACGGTTACGTCGCCGTAAATACAAATACGAATGACGTTGATTATCTTAAAAAATCAATTCACGATATGGTCGATTTTGTAATTAGGAAAAAATTGTATAAGATCATCAGGCAGCAAAATGAAATCATTGAAATCTCTGATGATGAAAATATGGAATAATTCTTGTGTGTGAAATTAATTAGGAGAAATTATTATTGTACATTAGAGATTAAAACAATTTTTTTTTTCTTAAATATAAAGCTCGCAGCTTGTTTAAAAAAATATGATCACATATGACGTCATCCGTGATCACGTGACATCACATACGAACTCAATGATAATGTGTGATGCTTGTATGACATCATCTATGATTTTGCATGATTACGTATCAGATTAATGACCACAAGTGATGTCATACATGTCAATTATCAACTTAATGATCACATATGTCTTGAATGATGTCATATACAACTACTGATACCTTTATTGACATCATACATGACCAATCATATCTTATTTGATTTTATGTAGTCGTCGACTACATGACTCAGTCGTGTTCTGCACCAGACTCAGTCGGGTGCGCACACGACTCAGTCTGGTGTAAATTAATTTTTCTTCCATTTTTTCTTGCACACGACTGAGTCTGGTGCAGAACACGAACCATTCGGATTTTAATCTTTCCGTGTACTTTCTCCGTGGAAAAATACATGGCCATACCAATTTTTATGACAATCGGTTGAACGGGGCGGAAGTCGATACTTGACAGCGCCGCCTGGTGGCGAGTTACATCAATGGTCATAGCATATTCGTTTTCTCCGTGGAAAAATACGTGGTCATACCAATTTTTATGACAATCGGTTGAACAGGGCGGAAGTCGATACTTTACAGCGCCGCCTGGTGGCGAGTTACGTCAATGGGCATAGCATATAAACCTTCTCCGTGAAAAAATACATAAACATACCAATTTTCATAATGATCGGTCAAATAGTTCCAGAGTTTATATATATATATATATATATATATATATATATATATATATATATATATATATATATA